TAAGAGAGCGAATTTAGCAGGGCAGCATACATACGAAGCTGGTAATGTTTCCTTTAATTATTTTTAGGGCTATAGAACGGCAATCGAGCTGAATCTGACTAATTACGTGAAAACAGGCAGCAACATTAGAGGTTCAATTGTATTGTTTAAAAAATTAAGTATAATTATGTTATTATGAGAATATTTTAATGGGGAATGATAGATTATTGTGTCCTTGTTAACCTCACCTTCTTCGTAATATAGAATAACAGAAGTAATATAATATTCTAATTTCTATGCTATGACAAAACCGTGTTTTTATATGAATGTTCAACGCGATTTGGAACGTTCGTGACTAGGTGATGGTATAAGACAAATACGTGACGTCATGATTTATATATATATATATATTAGCCATTTTTTTATTTTATTAAAGCTTATTTACCTATTCAATGCCATATAATAAGAAAGCTATACAATACAAATAATTTAAAATATATGTATTATTTATATACAATTATTAAATTTTCCCTGTCATTATTTCTCTTCGATATTTTTTATTATTTATTAATTTATTTACATACTTATGTAATACTTAAATACTTACTTAGTTTTTTTGACAGATTATAATTATTATGAGAGCAATTTCGACAGATTTTTTTAATAATAATTATCATTTACGAGTAAATATGAAAGTTATAAAGATACTACATTAATGAGCAATGAGATGAATGAAGGAATAAATTGATGATATGATATGATTTGAAAATTACCCGTAAAAGAACTTGTTATCCAATACTTTTACAATGTTATAAGAACATGGAATATAGAATTATATGTAGATAGAGTATCATGATTTTGAAAATAATTCATATTTGTAGTTTGACTGAAGTGAAAAGGGACAGGGCTATCTCTGTTCCTTTATTATTGTACGTTATTGAAATTATATTTTTTCTTAGAGCTGATTTTTTAATAGTTAGATAAAAGTTAACTGAGGAATAATTATGATGCTATCGCGTCAGAATGCTTGTGTAAGACAGTGACAGCAACAATTTTATTCCTCAGAGAAAATTTATCTGGCTATTGAAAAGACAGCCCTTATAATTTTAAATTTGGAAATACAAATTCTTCTGGTTAATTTCTTCTGGCGTGAAATGCATGATAATATTTTATTTGTAGAGTATTATTTTCAGGACATTACGAGAGCGATCCCTTTTTTAATAATACTTTAATTATAATGTATTTTTATAAATAATTGTTCCTAAGTATACGATTTTTTATTTATTTACAGCTAAAGAAATATGCGCTACGGGGTCACTTTGCCTAATTACATTAGTTTTAATATAATTCCACCCTTATACTACTTTAATATCCAATAAGATGTTATCCAAAAGATGACAGCAATTAATATTGTTTTAAAGTTCGAATAAAATATCCGGAAAGAGTAACATAAAGGGATGTGGTTAAATTAACACAATATATATAATTATGTATGTGTAAATGTATTTTTTTTTGTGTAAGTTTCTCATGAATTTTTTTTTGTCTATTTATTTTCCGTGTTTTATATAATGTAAAATGTGTTTTTGTTTGTTTCTTTTCATTTTTTGACTTATGGCTGATTTTTCAATGAATAGTTTAAAGTTATCTGGGGAACAATTATGATGCTGTCGCGTCAGAATGTTTGTATAAGACAGTGACAGCAACAATTTTATTCCTCAGTTAACATTTATCTGACTAACTAAAATCAGCCCTTAATGGCCCTTATTTTATCTAACAAATGTTAGATAAAATAATAAATTATTACATAATTAAATTGGATTTTGCAAACCGCAAAGCAATCGGATCACGCGATCGTGGATACTCGCTATAGCAAATGAACTGAAAGAGCATTGCCTACCTTTTGTGGTTTTAGCATTTTAAGGTTTTGGCATTTTGGTAAAGTCAATCACACGAAATTCAGCAAAATCTATCGAAAATAATGAAATATTGCGTTTTATGGGTGGTGTTATTCCGGTCAAGAAAGCCTTTTGCTGGTCAAACTATTGCTCTCTAAGATCTCAATATTAGTTTATAAGTTAAAATCATTTATCACTTAGTACCTACGTAGTATAATTTAAATTTAAAGACAACGAGATATATTTAATTACGAATGATTGTAAAGCTAAGTTATATAAAAATATAAAGCACTTAATTTTTTTTTTATCATTTTGTATTTTTTTATAAAAATATAATATATTATTTTTTCAATTTGATTTTACTTTATTATAAGCGATACTATACTATTACTTCTATATTATTAGAATGAATGAAAGAATTACTACTAAATGATTTATGATATTGATGAGTTGAAGAAGACAAACTTCTCATTTATTATGATTAATGTGTATTAATCCTAATATCACTTTCAATTTGGCGCGTATTTACATTTCCAAAATAATAACTTAAGTAGTTAATATTTCGTACATTCTTAATTTTCTAATATTTTTTTTACTTTAATTTTTTTGGGATTTTTTTGGTATCGTTTTTTTATTAGTTATAATTTTATTTTGTAATATGTACATTAATTATTTATACATTTACAATTGAAAACTAATGGTGTTATGACCTAGGCAATTTTGATACTAAATGCTTGTTTAATAGAATAGGTAATTGCTTAACTACACTTTTTTCATATAGGTAAGTAGTTATATAGTAATTTTAATTGTGTATGGTTAAGTGTATGTTATGGAATCTATTGCGTTATAATATGTATGTATTAGGTTCTATTGAGATCACATTCATTCCTCCACATTCACGCATCAAACAGAACCAGTAAACTCATACAAGACCTAGTACATAATATAATTATTACAGATCATAATAATAATTTTCGTTGTATGACGAATGTAAACTAACATATTACAAATAACTATACGAAATATAAGCTCTTCAAATACCGACCAACTCTTTTAAACATTCTGAAATCAAGACACGGCCGACGCTACAGTATTGTATTGTCCGTATTCACAAAAAGGTGATAATACAGCAGTGGAGCAACAAATCGAAAAACAACGTCGTAATAAAAATGTAACTTGATTCTTTGGAAACTTAACAACATTATATTAAATCCTCTTCACCTGTTACCAAAAAGGAGAAGATCTGAGATTTTGCCAGCTGATCGAACTGAATGCTTTTAGACTCCGAAACGACGTGACAATAGACCTTGTATACAGTGTGTTAAGGTTCGATTTTCCTATACCTCACCACCCGCCCTACCCACACGTACTGTACGTTAAATTTCAATGCCAAAAACTCTAAGAACGAGGTCAAAGTGATTATGATTATTTAAAACTGGAATATAAGTATTCAATTATTAAGAGAATTTTCGATAATAAATCGATAAGAAATTTCTAACATGCAATCGTTGTAAAACTGTATTTTGGTTGTTTTCCAAATATTTAAAAAAACAGCAAATCTCTATTAAGTATGTCGTTTTCGCCAATGAAACTAGACGCACCTGCAAAACGTGATTGAAGCATTGAAAAATCGAACCATACCTAATACAATGTGTATAAGGCACTACATCCAAACAAATATTACAATCGAATGTATGGGGTTCAGCAATATTGGAGGCACACACTTTTTTGGACCAATGGTGGTTCCCGGTGAATTCCTTTTCATTTAAATTTGGGCCTGATTGGAAATTCCAGATAAAGTGTAATAAAAATGCAGGAATTAGAGTGTCGCTGCTACCGTGATAGTATACATATTATATTGAATGTACAGGATATTTTTTTCAACCATTCTGAATTAAGCAAATTGGATGAACCAGCTCCTGTAACTGTCGTTATAAGAGTCACATTCAGTTGTCAGGTAATTGGCAAAGATGTTACAAAGCAAGGATTCCGTTTAAGAGAGTAACAAAACCAGATTATGTAGATACTCTTTCAGCGCGGAATTATCATTATTCGCGTAGCAACATTCAGGCTAGGAACTTGATACCAACTCGGTTCAAAACCAACAATCTGTACACTGAGCGCTCGGCGGCGCGACATCAAATCCTCTACTCTATGGCACTCACTTTTGTGTCTTTGCTTTTATACATTTAATAATAATAATTATAACTAATTACTAGTTATTTCTCTCGATCTCCATGATCTTATAATGATTCCAAGGTACGATGGTCCTTATGTCCCTATAGTAGAGGTGGTTTGATGTAACTCTAAGAATTATTCAAGTTATTTATTTACTGTATTAAGTGTCAAAAATTTGATGAGAAAATCTATTGTATACAGTTGAAAATGTAATAGTTATTGAAGTCCGGAAAATTAATATTAATCTAAGATTAAATACGGTTCTAAATATAATTGGCATTCACAATTTTAGTAAAGGGAGACTTGAATTTATCCTTATAAATTACCATCAAAGTGTCACTTGTTTTGTGTTGGTGTAGTAGAACTGGGATAAACGCTCTTGAATGGAACAACTAAGTTCCCCCATAAAGTAAATGTACAGAAAAATGGTCGCCAATTTAAAACTATGAATGTATTTAACTGAGAGTGGCAAAGAGGATTAACAGGAGTTTTTTACAAGGATGTTCATTTTGTTGATGGTTACTATCCTAACAACGAAAGCGTAACATTATGTTACACTCACGACCATGGAAGACGATCGATTTTTATCAAATACTAACTAAAACTATTTTCAAGAATCGAATAAATACGATTAAAGAATTATTAAAATATAAACCCAACGTAACATCTTTGGCGCCCATGACAGTTTAGAATGGTGTAACTGCAAATTGCAATTCACGACGGATGTTCCTAAGTACCATGTCCAAAGTATTAGCTGAATTTCTACTGGTAATCTTTTGATTCGGTAACATGAGATTACAACAAATTTCGGTACACATAAACGGTTACAATAAGTATTATATCCTAGTCTGGTTAAACATAGGCCGCTCCTACCTTGTACCGCCCTCACATCATCGGTGCTCTAATCAGGTTACGCAGGATGCGGTCCCAAGATGAGTTCGTTATCTGTCACCTGGATTCTGGAGCTGGGCTAACTCTTAACTCGATCTGGAATTTGAAAACAGCTAGTAAGTATTGGTTGCTACGCTGAAGGTTGAGTTTTTTTTTAATCGAGGTATCGATGCCTATTTTTATAATAAATTTACAAATTATGAAAAGGAAACCTTGTATTGCATTTAAACTGGCATCTTAAAACGCGTAGGTAAACAAAATGTGTGTCAAATGCGATGTTAAAAATTCTCCACAATTGTAAAACAATTGCATATTAATATCTTGACGCTGTGTATGCTAATGTCTCCGATATCACAGTTAATATCGTGTCTAGACTATTTGAATGTCAAATCATCTAATCCGTCGACTGAACGGTTATATCTGTCACATCGAAAGAGTTTAGTCAAGGTCAGGGACAAATAAGACCATATAGTTGCATTGAAAGATGGCGAGATTAAATTTTATCATAATATGGAAAGTCTGTTATACAGCTGAGAAGACTTTGAGCCTAGATCATTTGGATTGGGTTAATATTATAAAACACTTTTTGGGAATTTTAAAAGATTTCAGCAACATCTGGAATCTGGAGTAGTTTCTGATAGAAAATGGGACACATCGGTCTTGTCATAGTTAGTCAGCAAAAAAATATCTAATACAACCTACCTCGCTTAGAATGACCCAAAATCGGCTGTTGCGTTGCACACTCAGGCGGATGGCAATAATCGGACCCATGGAGAGATTTCCTTCAGCAAGACCAAACTCATCAAAGGCACCAATCACAGTAAAATTACTATGATTGTGGGCGGGTAAGACTTCTAATGTTGTGTTGTAGAATAAGTCCATCGTGTGATCAGGGTTGCCACTGCGGAAGACATAGCTGAAAAACAAATTGCTCATGAATTATCTAAAAGGCGCAGTTGTGGGTTTATTTTATTTTGTTATGATTTCAGATGGAGCGATTATTTGTTTCATCATGTTGTACACATGTGTCGTTGTCATGTATATGTGGTGCGAAGCTAATCATCACGGGCACAATATCACGATTGAGATAGGAATAAAACAAAAAGTCGGTATAAAATAAAAAAAGTCGTGTAGAGAGAGAAATAACAATAGAAAACAAAAGAACCAAAAAGCTAATGGTCGTTGTCTTGCCCGATTAGAAGGAGCCTCGACCTCAACTTTTCCAAGAGCTGATTTTCGTTGAAAGTGACTCATGGACGATAGTTAAACCGAAAAATAAAATAAACAAAGATGAAATGAAAATGAGTGTCAAAAAACAATAAATATAAAGAAGTACATAATATTATAAATTTATATACTAAAAAAGTTTGAGTACTTACTGTGTCATAACAATAGGCTTCTCGAACCAGAATTCTACAAAGCTCCCTTTCTTTGGTTTCAGACCCCAAAAGAAAGTGCGACCTGCGTAAGCCTTCTGTAGGGTATGGACACTATGTTCAATGATGTCAGTTTTTATCGTCCGCAGTGGAGGGTTGTCGGTGTGAGGGAAGAATTTAGGTACTGTTCGGAATTTTGCATCCTGGAAAGTTTAAAACGTTGCATTTTAGACCTTATCATCGTTCCTACTGTGATCATTATTGATTTATTATTTAAATGTATCCACGTTTGCCTTCACACAGCCCTTTAATATCAGACTGATTTTGTCAGCACCGGTACACCGTCATCAGTTTCCCAAAATTAGATTGTGCGTGTTTATTTTGACGCTGACATCGGTATACTGGTTAGTGTCGGTCAAGATGAAGCATAAGTAGAGCCTGTTGGTTTGCTTATCGGTAAGGAAATAGTCTCTGGTACACTACGTTGTGTTAAAGCGGTTAAGCACATTTACGTAGGGCGTACGACATACATTGGTATTGGCACAATATTATTTTATTCTCAAACTCGACATCTTCTAAACTGAGACAGGAAATCAGTCTGACACAAAGTGCTGACTAATAAATCTTAACTGTTTTATTAGGATACTATAAACGGGATATATGTACATACATATTTACTCTGCGTACGATTTGAAATTGTATAGTATATCACCACAAGTAGAAACTTGTTCAAACCAACAATGTCATGTACGCATACTAGCTACTCACATGTGGATTCACATAAGCGCGTTTTACCAAACAAAAAATGTGTATGGTTCGACCGGCCTCGCAGCAAACCGGCGTGAAACAATCACAGCTTTGTGTTTTGCCACGAAACTGAGGTTAACTATGGCCCAATCTTTCTTTCCCTCCCCCTATCCCTGAATCTCCGAAATCCTCAAAAGGCCAGTAACGCCTCCGGTATTGCATGTCCATGCCATGGGCGGCGCCGATTGCTCACCATCAGGTAATTCGGATGCTCGTATGCAGTTATGAAATAACTAAGGTTCATGCAATGTGCCTGTTTAAGAAAACTGCTTGCAATAGAGAATATATTATTTTACAATAGCTACAAATAATATTACAATAATAACGCTTACCCCAATTTTATGCATTTTCCCCTTCAATGAAGAATAGAGCCCAATGTGTTGGAAAAGTGAAGGTTTAAATTTCGGCCTGATTTTCTCCTTGGCCGCGCCGCAGTTTTTCTGGAAATTTAGAAAGAAAATTTTATTTAACTATGAAAAGGTGTGGATCACGCAATAACATGTATATGAATACAGACAGAGTAAATTCAGTATTTGAGTTCGAATTTTAAGTTGTGTCAAACAATATAATTATAAATAGCAAGCATTTTACAATTTGTATAAAGTAAACACAGATAACTAATAATATAATTGACAGCTCAAAAACAATACTATGTACGACATTGTTAATAAATAAATGTACCCATGTGGTTCACAAAACGGAGATGTGAAGATCTCTGGTTTTGTAGGTGATCTGGATATTAATATCCCGTATTGTTACCAACTTAAGCGTCAAAGTCAACTCTTAAGTTATTAGCCATACGGTTCTAAGCACAGAAAACAAAATGCTTCAGAAGATCAGAGTATTAACAGACTTAAAGCAGTCTTTTCAAAGTAAAAGCAATTCAAGCACAGAAATTTTAATAGAGAACAATAACTTACGCCGGCCTTTTCCAGGTTGCACACACGGTCAGCTAAGTAACTTTCTAAGAGCCAGTCGATAGGGAGGTTGTTGTAGAAAATCTGGGCGTAACTGATGAATTTTATGAGCTCCGCGGACCGAAAAAGTTTTCCAATGCCCCCGACATGACAGAATTCGATGAAGATCCAGTTCGGATTGGAGACGGTGGTTGTGGCTGTGAACTTTTTTATCGTCTGGGGAAAGAAAACAATGGAAAACTATTAGTAAGTGGAAATTAAACCAACTATCATTTACGCTTGGTGAGATATGTTAAATTAATTATAACAGAGTTGGCTGAGCGAAGTTGACTGCGTCGCGCGATGCTGTTCACGAATATGAGCCCCTTGTGTGGCTTGAAACTTGTTGAGGCCCTCGTCAAACAGTTACGCGAGTAAGCTGATAAAGATTTAATCTACCAGTTTTAATTATTGTAAATTGGATAACTCTTTTTGTCGTTTTACTTATCCAAAAACAACAACAACGAAGCTGACACGTCAAGAAATACCTAAGCGCCAGCCAATCTCACAATCAAGTACTTTTTCTTCATTCTTGATAAACATTTTATTAAAATATAAAATTACATTGAGCAAAAAAGTATCACTAAATAACCAACTCATTTAGTTTCAATCTGGCCCTGTTACCATTTCAATTTCCGTGTAATTTTTACAGGAGTTAAAGGGAAATGAGATTGCAATGAAATAGATAGACTTCAGGGAACTTCGAATATTAATTATATCTTCAGAACTGCTGCATACCTCAATTTCTGAGTACATCTTTTTTTGATTTTGAAGAGCTACCTTCAAGTTTAAAATACATATAGAATATTGTGTAAGTAAAGGTTCTCTATAAATACAAAACCTCGCATCTATTTGTTTTTCTTTGAGAGAATCCAAATATGTAACAATTTCTAGTGTTAGTTAATGACTCCAAACTTTACATTTTATTTATTATTAGTTGCGGTTGTAAGTTGAATGATCCAGGTGATGTTACGACAGTGAAGTGCAGGTGGGTGCTCAATAAAAAGTTTGATGTGGACAATAATGTGCGGTTCCGGGCTAGACTTGTGGCTAAAGGTTTTTCCCAAAAACCAGGCATTGACTATACAGATACTTTCTCTCCAGTTGTAAGACATTCCACACTTAGATTATTGTTTGCTCTCAGTGTTAAGTTAGGTATGAGTATTGATCACTTAGATGTAACTACAGCTTTTTTAAATGGTTTTTTGAAAGAGAGTATTTACATGGCATTACCTGATGGTTTTGAGAACAAAAGTGGGGGAAAGTTATTGAAATTAAAAAAAAGCAATCTATGGATTAAAACAATCTTCTCTTGCATGGTATGACAGAGTTAAAGATTTACTTTGTAACTCAGATTTTAAAAACAGTCTGTTGTTTTGCTACATTCACGTTGTTTGCTTATAGGTTTGAAAGTGGTGCCAGTGACTGAAAAGTTGAAAGGGAACCGTTTGTCTTGGTATGGCCATGTGAAAAGGAAGGATGAAAAGCATGTAACAAAAAAAGTCATGTGTATAAATGTGGATGGATGGAGAGGCAGGGGGAGACCAAAGAAAATATGGATGGATTGTGTGAGAAGTGATATGGAAGACAGAGGAGTTAGCGATAGCGTGACGAGTGACAGGACAGAATGGAAGAAAAAAACCGACCCCAAATAAAACGGGACAAGGGCAGGAAGATGATGAGTTGCGGTTGTAAGTCTATTTAGGATTTATAAGACAAATGGTAAGGCAAAAAACTGCTATCACCGAATGTATCCACGCGGACTACCAAGTAAATCATATTTTAATTTTTACAGATTTTTTAAGTCAGTGTGTGACTGACGTGACTGACACGCCTCACTGACGTGTGACGTGAGTGAGGCGTGTCAGAATCCTACACGCCTCACTCAGGGCGGGAGAAGAAATTGGATAAAATTTTAATCATTAAAAAAGATTGACTCTCTGAATGCACTCACCTGGATGTAGTTTTTCTTGGCAATTATGTCATCTTCTAGCATTAGATAAAATGTGCCCTTCGATTGGGCGTATGCCATCAGGAAAATGTTATCCAGATTCTGTTTTGAGCGCCATTTGATACGTTTACGAGAATCTCCCAGAGTGATAGGGAGTTTGTCGAAGTCAGGGTAGTACGATTCCCGTGGTGATATGACCTCGATCAAGCCACTATCCACCTGGTTTGGAAACCTGTACAGAAAAAAATATATGAAAATAATAATACTAAAAATAACTTCTCTGTATAAGACCTGGCAATATGTTAAAGTTTGAAAACTAATACAAATATGAAAGTCTCAGTTCATTAATATTATGGAAGATAAAATTAGCAAAGCTCAAATTGTTATAGCTCCGTATATTTTCTATCGTTTACTAGTTAGTTACTGAATTTATTTAAAAAAAATTGTATCTACAGTTCGACATAGTTGACGAGTGTTAATTGAATCCTTAATCAAGCTATTGCGTCGTTGTGGGATTGAAAGCAAGAAGTCTATTTGAGTTTTAACTGTCTAAGCTATCAATTTCCAAGTGCGGGAATTCAGTTGCGTTAAGATGTAAATAAATCCCGCAATCTCAATAAATCAAAGTATTTAAAAAACGTAACTATTTGTCTAGATTAAACATTTAGATAGACTTGTACTCACATTGTTTCAATCTGCCTTGCAACTTGCAGCACGTAGTCTAGCTCCGTTTCCCCAATCATGACCACGATGAGGGTGTTGTTGACATCGGCGGGGCTCAGCTCGGTGACGAGATGCTAATGGGATTATTTATTTATTACAATTATACACAACTTATATCTAAGATACCCCATCTAAAACAATGGGGTTTCGGACCTTAAAAATATATTTACAACATGACTTATATCTATCTTATAAAAATCTCACCTACAACGATGGGATTTTTATAACTTAAAACTAAAATGTACCCACGTTTGGTAACCAGATAAACCATTTAGATTCACTGGTTTCAACTAACGTGGATATTTACTCTCCGTACATTTGAGAAGTTGTCAAACATGATGTCAAGCCCGAAGACATAAATCCGTGGTCACGCTGAAGGTAGCAAAGAACAGATCACTCCTGTGGGCGCAAGGTTTACCCCTGCACCGGCTCACACAGTGTGTCTGGCAGTGCCATCACCAGCTAACCCCCCATGCTGCAGGGGTTACATACCAGCCTATGCCACCCTATGTGTACCACTCGTCGTCGTTTGGCCATGATATACTTAGCGTGGCGCAGATCAGGCCACGTGTCCGCAGGCCTGACGCTTGCAACTTGTTCACAATTCAAATGTACGGCTAATACTTAAAGACTATTTTGTACAATTTTACTACCTTATATACTAATATGGCACTGGCAGTGATATTCTATTTCGATGTTCTGTCGGTTATAAAGTAGTAGGTAAGGTTAACAAACGGCTATTTGCTTTAACAGATGTAAAAGGGAAGAAATAAAAGTCGCTATTGTTCATGTTGTGGTATTCGAAGACATTTTATTTTATTGCCATCATAAACTTAACCTAGTATTAAAACTAAAAATTGTAATAAATAAATAATCCCTCACCGTTAGAGTCACCATCAAGTAGCTTTCTTTATCACGCTTGACGGTCGGCACTCCCACCACTATTTCGCAGAAAGATCTGCCCCCACTCAAATCTTAACATCAGAGGAATTAAAGGCGTACTAGGGTTTTTTGGATTATAAATGAAAGGAGTAGCATTAGTATTTTATATTCTATGCTTAGTTAAATAAGGTAGCTAAGCTTCAACTAATCTAGGCTCGGCATTATCTGACGCATAGCTGAAACAGTTAGTCAGTCAAACTTTCGCTTTACGTTGCATTTTGTGTCAGTCGCAATAGCATTCTTAAGTAATAGAATATTTTGTAATTAATATTATACCTGATGTATGGCAATAGGTTGACCTTTTCCTGGCTTAACTACGGCCATGCATCAGGTCTATAACCATGTAATCATCATCATCATCATTGCCATTTTAAGCGTGGGAGAACCCCCAAGGATTGGCTCGGCTGATACTACAGCGTCACAAAAAACTGGCTTGAAACACACAGCGTTGTGCTTCGGTGTATCAGTGAGGATAACAGAGACCCAATGCTTCAATCAAAAATTCTTTATCCTCATAATTGCGGCAACGCACTTGGTGTTGCGAGCGTTCAAGAGCGGCGCTGATTGCTTACCATCAGGTTATCAATTTGCTCGTTTGCCGACGTATCCCATAAAAAAGCCCAGTCTATAAGTGCTCAATGCTGAACAAAGGCGTCATCTCACACAAAGAAGGTTTGATCAGTAACTAAAGGTGGATTGGTGATACAAACTTATAAGTGCCTTAAACTCCGGGACACATAAAATGCCACATAGTACTCATAATACCATCACTGATAAAAATTTAAGGGAATTCATACAAAGTTTAATTTACGCGAAGCGTAGCTTATAACATTTTGAACAAAGTAGTGTTTCAATACTTTTGCAAGTGAATATAAAATTACAAAATATCGCCTTGCACATTTTACTTACGAGCTCTACATACATAAGTACTAAATGTGTCAGTCGCATTGTAATTCCTATCAATCTTAATCAATACAGCTTTAGCATGTAACGCTCCCGATGTCTGAATAAATATTAAATCTAGGTCAGATAAACGTGTCTAGACTGCAGTCTGGTCTATATTTTATTGAATTGAACTTAGTGTTACAGATCTAGCAAAAAGGTTAGGTAGTTGTTTATTCAAGGACTTACAATGTAGTGTTTTACAAAATTCGCAGACGCATTAGATTAAATTTCTGTTTGTGCTAAATATGTAGTTTGATTAGCTATGTTCACTATATTAATAAATTAGTTGTACGAAAACATTCGACGAGGTGATTTGACTAATTTCGAGTCACGCCAGGGCCTATAATCATGTGTAGCATGTGTCACTATACCAACATCGTCAATACTTTACAGGAGATGAAACACAAGTCTTGTCAAGTATTTTTTTTTAAAGAGTGGAATTCACTCGAATCGTCAAAGGTGAACCTTTAAGTTTTTAAATATTATTCGTTAAAAAAAATATCAATACTCCTTGGAATTATAAAGATGTTTGCGTACCTTTTAGTACGGATCCATTCACGTTTTCTTTTCTAGAAATACTCGAAGAGGAATATTGGTTTTTCTATTAGAATTTATTAAAACAAATACTTTTATCTATGAGTATTGGAAGTGTTTTTAACATTCCCAGGTACTGAGTTGTATTTAAAAACATAAGAATGTTTGTTGGTTCATTACTTTTGTTCTTAAAACACGTAGGTTTAATAACATAATATTATCTAACCTTCTTACTCGTAACATTGGTGTATTAGTGAAACCGACAAGATACATAATAAAAATGCAGAACATGAAGAAAATTCGCCATAGCTTGAGTTTAAGGACTAAAAAACTACAATCTAGTTGTACCAATAAGAACTATTATCCCATCAAGGACTGATTGTATGATTATAACAAAAAGCACATACATAGCAAATCTATAATCTCATTTTTGTTAATTATAAGCGTTAAACTTAATAAATTTAAGAATCAATACACAAAGGTAATCTTACTAGTAAGATACCATTTTCAGTGAGTTGGTTGCGTGAAACCCTACTTTCTTGAAAATAGCACAACTATTTTCAATTTAGTATCGTGAGCAAATTCATTATTTTAAATAAGCTATGAAAATGCTATATATTATATTAGTTCAACTGACTTGATAATTCAATACACTCATAAAATTATTAAGGATTCATCAAATTATACATTAGTAAGATGACTATCGCCTGAAATGTATCTTGTTGCGTAGAAAATAAAGTAGTTTTTGGGTCAATCTATTAAACCTTAGACTTATAAGGTCCTAAGTCTAGGCGAAGTAATTTTTGAATGACAGAAAAAAAATATTTCGATTATGATTATGATATTGATAATGTGTGTCTCACAATATTTGCAGGTTAGAGGAATTAGGACCTTATAATAAAAATTTTAGATGACAAAATTACCTGTCATGTTCTTTAGTAGAAGTTGAACTGCGGGTGACAGTGGCGCCAAAGAGACCTCGTGCAGCGTATTTTGAGAACTGTTACCACGGCCGGAAAACATCTTCGCCTATACAAAAGACATGAACATAATTATTAAAAAACGTCAAACTTTAAACAATAGTTTTTCAACTATAGAATGTACCAATAATGCTAAAATGAAAAAAAAGACGGTAATCTAATCCAAGGCACCGTGATCGGCTATAAAGCCTGCGATCGCTCAAAAAAGATAAACAATAGGTATTGGTATTCTGGATAACTTTTAAGTAATACTATATATACTATTCCTTGAAATAATGCAAAAAACAAACCTGGCATTAAGACACGTAATCTATACTAATATTATAATTTGTAAGTTTGTATGCAGGGGGTAATCTTTGGAACCGCTGGTCGGATTACCAAAATGCTTTCACTGATAGATAGCTACAATGTTCCTGAGAGCTCTAGGTTATAAAACATCAAGCTACGATTAAATAGAGAAGAGCGGCGGGTGAAACCGCGCGAGAGTAGCTAGTCTCTTATAGAATTTATTGAATCCCAAATGTAGAAAATCTGTTTCGTAAACTGAAAGTTTGCAGCCAAGTTATGAAAGTTGTTTTTTTTTTACAGACAACGTGAGTTGCAGTACTTGGAAACCACAATTATATAATTGATTTATTATATTGATTACATTTAACACCTAGCTTCACTGACAAACAGACTAACGGAGTTTTATTGTATTTTAAGTTTTTCAAAGGTGTATTGGTTTGGTAATAATTTTTATTTTTAACTTTGACTCTGTCTTTGACTTTGACTTTGACCTAATATGACGGTTTTACGTACAGAACCTGCCAATATTGTTCACTGACTCCGATTTTGAATTTAAAATGATAATGACTTTAATATCAAACTATAATCGCAACATTACAGTGTTCTTATCTACCATTGCCTACATATCATCATCATCATCATCATCATCAGCCTGTTGTCGTCCACTGCTGGACATAGGCCTCCCCAATTGCACGCCACTGAGCTCGATGTTCAGCTCTTCTCATCCAACCACTGCCAGCCACCCTGCGGATGTCGTCAGTCCACCTAGCTGGAGGGCGCCCTACACTACGTTTGCCTAGACGTGGTCTCCACTCTAGAACACGTTTACTCCATCGGTCATCGGTTATTAGGCCATTGCCTACATATATACAAACTAAATTAGACTGTAAAAAACGCAATAAAGTCCATAATAACCTGTAATGTTATGACCGCTTCTTGTTTCCCCCTGTACTGTGAATCCAGGTATTCTAGATGATTCTTCATGTTCGCCAATAGCTCCTCCATCCGCTCCTCTCGTTCAAGCCGAGCTGCGAAAGAAAAAAAATAACTAAAATAATGTTTAACATGACTAAACGGATATGCTCTATGACTTTCCAATTCCAAGTAAAAGATCATGTTATTAAAAACTATTTTTAATTTAAATTAATATATGTTATTACTTAAACTAGCGATCCGCCTAAGCATCGCATAGGTAATTTTCTCCACTGTTATGATGTCATTATATATTACAAACCTTCCTCTTTAATCACTCTATCTAATAAAAAATCAGCAAGAAAACCCATTGCGTAGTTTTAAAGATAAATTAAACTAAACATAAAGAAATCAATTTTGAAATTTCTCATTAAATGGTATATTCCATTTTTATATATACGTATATATACTTTGTAGTTACAAAGCTTATTAGGGCATTTTCAATCGTCAAAGGAGTTTTGACATAAAATATTGAGAAGCTATTATTTAAAAGATGATTCGTGCGGTAACCTTATTACCGCGTCTAAAAACACAACGAATGCATTGTTCTAATTCGCTTTCCTGAGCTAGAGAATTTGTCACAATACCTTTAATCCGAAAGTATAAAAAAGTTTTAATATTTTACAATGATTTATTCGTTAAAAGCAAATAATATAATTCCTCCTCCACGCCGAATTTTGTTATAATGACAAAGTCTATGGTACACTAAAACAACTAAATCCAAATAATGCTTCAGCCTACCTGCAATATAAGTCTAATGATTGTGCAAGACCTTTATATCTACCTAATCGTATTAAGTATACATGAATCATAAGGTAGTCTCTAATTTTATAAACAGAACTAGGACTTCCACAGAAATAAATAACTATCGAAGTAAATCATTTACACATTGATTTTCTATTCCCGGACATACTCTTAAATATTCAATGAAAGCAAAGTTCATACGAATAGACAATTTCAAATGTGAGTAAAATGTATGCACTGACTTAAACTGCACATGAAGATGTCACAGCCTATCGAACATTTTTCAACTTTAACACCTAACTGTAAAGTTTAAAATGTCATGAGAGATCGGGATAGTATTACGTGCATCTGTGCCTCAACTGTGCATCGCGACAAAATCGATTCAAAGGGCTTCTCTGTTCTCTTTCTTTTTTCAAAATGTCTGCGTCTGTGTTGACTGTCTGGTAAACCCAAGTGAGAAAAATATAGTAATAGTTTCGCCTGGTATACATAGTGATTGTAGTTCAACTTTTTTGCTGTCTATGTAGTTATTTGAGACGTCTGTTGTGATTTATTTCCAAACAAATATAAAAAACCTTTCATGCTTTTTTGCAGTCTACGCTTATGTGTTGTAATTAGGTTTCAGTAAGTTTAATATGTAAAAACAGGTAAACACAGAAATCGTAATTAACATCGAGATAAGAATTATGTAATTGTAAATTGTGGCTCAACACAACGTAATTGTGAATTCAGAATGCATGAACCTATGTCTGTTCTTTTTTTTATGTATGTTTAGACGGTTTACCTGATGGTAAGCAATCAGCGCCGCCCATGGACACCCGCAACAGAGGAGTTACGAGTGTGTTGGCAACCTTTTAGGGATTAGGGATTTGGAGATTTAGGGATTGAGGACGGATTGGTGGAGGGGAAGGATTAAGCCTCCGGTAACCTCACTCACACGGCGAAACACAACGCTGTGGTTGTTTCACGCCGGTTTTCTGTGAGGCCGTGGTGTCGCTCCGGTCGAGAGCCATGCTTCGGCACGAATGGGTCGGCACCCATTCGTGCCGAAGCATGGCTCTCCCACACTTATTCATTTTCTTATTCACTTTGTTCATTTAAATATTACCAATTCATCGTAAAAATAAAGAAAATACCATGAAATTCTGCAAGCAATAATAAAAGTTGTATAAAATTGCTCACTTAAATTGTTAAGGGTAATTTTATCGTCACTATTCAATTGAAAATTTTTCTTCGGTCAATTTATAAGTAGCACTCCAGTTATGAACCATCGTTTGAAATAGTTCATCATGCTGTATCGTATACGCCATATCGTATCCTAGCCTTCTTGATATTAAAGTTAGTAACATAAATGACTGTAGTAAATTTATCAATTCTTTCGATTAAGGATTTTTAGAAAATTGGCTTATCTTTACCGTCTTTTTTAAAGTTTTTAATTACATTCAGAATAATTTATGTGGTATCAACGAAAGTAACAACAAAACAATGGTAAATAAAGAAATAGGTCTTATTACCAAGTCCTAGTGACATAATTCCCAATAGCAATATAGGTCGATGGCAGAAACTATGCCACGATCGCTGCAGTCTTACTAGTGCAGATACTGTTTTAAACCTGATAGCGTAAACACTATCTACAACTGATAAGATACGAATTTAAAATACACCTTAGATACGTTACTTAATTCGTCAAACCCCATGCGAACGCTGGCGTTTGATCACCTTGTTCTTCTACTGTCTGTCTCAAATTACCATGATTAAAGGGTTAATTACGTTTTTTAAGTAATCAGGCACAACAAATTTGGTATCAAAATTGAAATTTGCAAAGCCCTATGTATTCTGTACCTATGTCTATAGCATCGTGACGTCATCGTCAGGCAGGGTTGAGCAAAAGTGTAATGTGACACATATATCAGGCAATTTGCAGGATGCAGGGAATATACTAAACTCCTGATAATTTTTAGAAAATCCGAAATAATCCCCGTTTCTATTTTACCCTAAGCCCTTTGTACACCGGTCCCACATATATTATGTCATCTGGACTTTAAAAAGAGAGACCTCTGAGTTTGTTTCGGCGTTTCTTCTCAGCGTAGTCAGATAGGAAATGCCGGCTTCATAAAATTTGACGTGTAAAAGTGCAGTTTTGGCCCATTTGCAAAAATAAATTCATTGCTTCATTGATCACTTTACCAAAAAGCCGTAACCTTTACGTCTCAGGTTTACCTAGACACAAATTGTCTAGACACAATATTGATCTTTTATAGTTTAATGTTTACTACATATTAATACATACATATACGAGAATAAAATTCTCGTAAACTCAACGAGCTTAACAACAAGTCATTACTTTAAATAACGCTAGAACTCGTATGTTATAATATTTGTATATTTAGATTTTTCTTGCGGCTTTTCCCGCAAAGTTAATATCAGAAGTTTACCTACACTAAATTCCAGACTCTTAACTGTCTAAAACACAAAAATAATTATCATATTACAAAACCGATCTATTGAAGACAGACAAACAAACAGACTTTCACATTGGGACAACTAGTCATTTCGAATTTTCAATACCTATTTACAATTTAGATTTGAATTTTATACGAGATTATGTATTTTCACGTCAGGTTTCTGGGAAATTGCTTGAAAAATAAAATAATTATTGTATATTGAAATCAGTTAATGAATGTGATTATTTTTAAATATTATGCTCCATAATTCAAATAGCAGATGTCGGAGAAAAAACAGCCAGGCTGAAGTGGGAATGGGCTGGCCACGTCGCACGAGTGCACCCGGACAGATGGGCGAAGGTTGTCACTCACTGGACACCTGAAGGAGGTCGACCACGGCGAAGGTGGTGTGACGATCTGATCATGATCGCGGGGCAAACTTGGCCGGAGATCGCTCTAGACTGAGAAGTTTGGAAGGAAAAAGGGGAGGCCTTTGCCCAGCAGTGGGACGCATAATAGGCTATAAAAAATACCTATTGTATTTACCAGACTCGCAGTTTTGTTTGGAAAACAAAAACATTTTTATTATCTTTATAACCTGTCAATCATATACAATATCTTTTGTCGGATTAAGCTCAAAAGGATTACTTTGTTTCTACTTTTATGTAGGATATAATAATGTATGACTGCACGGTTAGTGCGGTGGCTGGGCAACTGGCTGCCGTGCAACGTGTTGCGGGTTCGATTCCCGTACGGAACGACTCTTTGTGTGATCCACAAATTGTTGTCCCGGGTCTGGGTGTCATGTGTATGTGAAATTGTATTACTATGTTTGTAACCGTACTTAAGACACAGGAAAAAATCCTATAGTGGGGCAAAATTTCTATAAAAAAAATGTATACTCAATATACCAAAGGTTGTAATAGTTGATATCTAACGGAGTTAACATCGATGGGAATTTTTTATGGGACCGACTATCTGTATAAACTATGTATATTATATTATATTGATACTATGACACATGCACACAGATAATGATATATTGATATATTAGCGGAACTTGCCGCTTGTCACTTCATGTTAACGAGTGGATGGACAAACATATTCGAACTACACATTATGCTTGTAGTTTTCGCTGTAAACGGCGAGTATTATTTATTTCACATCGAGTTTAGAAGATTATCGGGTTTTTGGAGAGCTTAAAGTAATTAACCTCTGTGCTAGAATTTAAGTTTTATGACAAGAATAAAAACAATTTTCACAATAATTTTAAAAATTCTTCCTCTTTGTGTGATTTAGAGTTTGATTGATCCTACCTATCTACCTACTAATTTTTTTTGACGTTGTATTATCAGCCTTTGTGCTACCTACCCTAGGTAGGGTGAGATTTTTTGGTATTTTGGGTAATGTCAGATTTTTCCTGCTCCGAGATCGGCCGTAGTAGACCGCCGTTGCTTTAAAATATCCTACTCTGTCTTTATCAATTACGGCATTAAGCATAAAAACGTTTAAAAGTTTTTGTGTCCACTAGATTGAAGACAAATAAATATCTTACATATTTTATGGCTTTTAATGTGCATCAGGCTTGACCCTAGTTTATTTTTAACCCCCGTTACTTTTCCGACATGTATCGTATCGAACTAAATGTGACGTCACGGAACTAAGACATCTTCAGGCGAACCGCACTTTGATAGACTGATTAAATTATGCAGATTAAGGGCTATCGCCACTCATGTAAAGTACTGAGAAAAATAAACTGCATTTTAATTTATTTCCCGCTTAGGTTAGTGATGTGATAGCTTTGCTGTTAATGCGAAGTTTCTTAGCTTGCATAGCTCCCAAAACTTTTTATCTCTTATGCGTACATAATAAAATATATATGAAAAGAGAAAAATTATACAGAACGATTTTGGCTGGTTAAATAATTTCATAGATTATCGTATGTTGTACATCGATTCCAGTTCTATTATTGATAATCGATAAACACCTATGTGATACAATAACAAATGCAATTCATTTGTTATTTTTTGAGTAATACGCCTATCATCAAACCCGAGTTCACCTAACATAAACCGATCTAACCTAGGAGCCATCATACGCAAATAGGGTTTTAATATACAGGACGTTCCCGCGTTCACCGCATGGTTGATAGCTATCTAGTCAAGTTAGCCAAATCAATTTGAACGAGATGAATTTTCCCGAAGCTGGCTCAGATTTTCGAGCAGCGAATGGCTGAGTCGCTATCATATTTTGACATGACAACGCTTCCAAGCTTCAATCGACTGTAGTCGACGTAAATGTTTCAAATATTTGTGTACAAAATTGCTTTGTCCGTGCTTCTGTTTGTGGGATGCCTGTGATGGAATATTTCGCACAAATTTGTCACTCTAATGTAGTGCGCGATTAAGGTCTTCAAATTGTTCAGGTTCCATACTTAGCTTTATGTATGAGAATGGAAATTCTGTACGGTTTACACACGATCCTGTTTGGTATGTTGACTCTGCTTGTGAACTGCGTTTAAGTTCCTGGTATGATGATAAAATAAATTATATTTTTTGTGAAAGTTGAGCTCTAAGTGTGGAAAAGCCACCTTGACCGGAGTGATACCACTGGCTCCCCAATCCCTAAAAGGCTAGAACGCACAACGCTCCTGCAACCAGACTCTGGTGTTATCACTTCTGCTCGTTTGTCGAACTATTCCATAAAAGAAGCACTAAACTAGTTCACTTATTATATAAAGTAGAGCACATAATAATAATAATACACAGCATTCGGTTGTTAATCATTTAATCCCTGAATCGGAGGGTTGTCCTGCAAAGACTCACCACTTAGAACGACACTGGAAACGCTTCCATTCCATCAATAAGTAATGTAATTTCCAATTAGCCGCCGACGTCCAATTTTAGAGTGTGGATCGAGCCATTGCAATTTCTGGTAGAACGTTGGGTAAGATGTCATTTCTAATAGGGAACGAAATGGACAATCCAATAATAATTTTATAAGCGATTTTGGAAGGCTTATTTAATAATTCAACTGCTTCACTTAAATTTGGACAATCTGTCATTGTTAAATATTCTATTCTGACTTCTCAAGGTACACCTTTATATCCTTAAATTGATTTAACTAATCTTAAAGTGGTGTTTTGCATCTGTTCGGGTACTGGTCAGCTCGAATTGTTTATTTATTTATTTTTGTTCATTATGAACTAATTCCAAATTTAGAATTTAAACCGTCTTTTAAAATCTTTTCCAACAATCATAAGTGAACAAAAGTGAAAAATATCAATCATGAATACTGAGTAAATTGATTCGAATATAGAAAACTAGATGAAATATACAAATAGAAAAATTTGTTTCATAAGCATCGGTCCAAGGCTGTTTAAGGAGTCTCCATTCTTCTGTAACATGTACTGGACAATAGTAAAAATGTGGCTGACCTAAATTGATATTATAAAGCCGAAGAGCTTTTGTTTGTCTGTTTCTTTGAACGAACTAATCCCTAGAACTGCTGGTTCAAATGGAAAATTTTTTTTTTTTTTTTATTAACAAAAAACTTGACTGTTTTTTCAC